AGAATTGCTTCTGTAATTGTATAAATGCAGTGGTGGAAAACCATGTATATTGCTGTGACAAAAGTTAGCAGGATTACATTCTACCCATTTCATCCAGCATACATAATAATCTCCATTCCTTCATGGCTAACAATGCACCATTTGTTTGCAAATGGGATTTAAAACATCAGAGTATGCAACACCTAAAATGTTAGCAATGAACCAGGGGACAGGGAATGCTATGGTGGAGCATGGAGGAACTTAAATCTCAAATATTCAGGACCCATCAATAGAAACAAATCTCAGTTATTTATTGGGCCAGGTTTAATGATATTAGATAGACATCATTGGTTTAATATGTGCATCTATGGAATTCTTTCTGAACCGATAAAAGGGAAAAGGAAGGGTGAAAGAATGTAATAGCACCTTTAAAACTAAGGCTGCATCCGCAATGCAGAAATAATCCAGTTTAACAACACTAACTGTCATGGTTCAATGCTATGGAATTCTGCGACTTGTACAGCAGATTTGGCTCTGTCAGAGAGCTCTGGTGTCACAGCAAACTACAGATCCCACAGTTCCATAAGATGGCGGAGCCATGGCAGCTAAAACAATGTCAAACTGAAATATTTCTGCAAAACTGATGCAGCCCCACTGATTTACATTTTAGCATGAGCTTTTTTATATATATCAATACGCTTCTTCAGACACAATAACAGAGAAATAATAAAGCCACCATTTATCAACCTTATTTATACAGTTCTGGGAGTGGGATATAATGTAATAGGATCCAAACAGATTAAAATTGTGACCCTTTCCATAAGTATTCAAAGGGTTATGTGAGATGATACAGGCCTTTCAGATCTTTAAAGTGGCCAGTTAATATCAACATGTATAAGTCTGCTTCTTGGAGATGTCTTGGAGATGTCTCATCCGTAGGGTCGCCATGGGTCAAGATCGACTTGAGGGCAGTTAACAACAAATAACAAAGCATGCTTACCTAAAGTCAGTTCCCTTAGGTTCAAAACCTTCTTTTATATAACCCTTTTGTTACATATGCAGTCATGTATTAATATATGTAGTTTAGCATGAAATCATAATCTTGGTTCATACCCCTGCAAATGGATTGGAATTTGTAAATGTAACTCAACTCAGCTGTTCCTCTTTCCAGTCTTCCTTTGAAATTTCTTGGTTCCAGAACTGTCGCTTGTAAGTCCCATACTAACTGACCACTTTAAAAATCTGAAAAACCTGTATCACCTCATGCTATTTGTACAGTAAAGCAATCAGTTCGCAAAGGCTTGCTAGAATAACAAAAATATTGACCACCAAAAGCACAGCAAAGAAAGAGCCATCCTAACCTCCCTAAGAAGGAAATTCCAGAACCTCTGAGCAGCCATGGAGAAGATCTCCGGAAGATCTTAGAGCTCAGGTGGGCTGATATGGGAAAATATGATCCTTCAGAAAGCCTGCCCACCCTTCTCTCAGTTTTCGATGTTACCTCCTTCTCTCTCCTTCCTTTTCTCTTTCTGCTACCCTTCGCTCTCTTTCTTTCTCTTGCTTTTGTATGCCTTCAACTTATTCCTTACTTGCAACCCTTTAATGGGGTTTTCTTGGCAAGATTTCTTTGCCTTCCTCTGAGGCGGAGAGACTTGCCCAAGGTCACCCTGTGGGTTTCCATGGCTGAGCTGGGATTCGAACCCTGGTCTCCAGAGTCCTTGTCCACCACTCAGATCACTACACCACACTGGCTGTCTCTCTGACACAGTGCAATTCTCATATGCAAAGAGATCTTGTGGCACCTTTGAGACTAAGGGGGGATGCAGACGGGCGGCCGTGGGCCACCCCGGGAAATGGACGATCAAGGCCAAGGCTGCCAGATGTGCCGGCCCCGATTCTCCTGTTTGGCACCTCGGAAAGGAGCGCCAAAATGATCGTCCTTTCAGAGGCGGCAAATAGGCTGCCCCAAGAGCCGCAGCATGGCTCTTCTGCATCCCTTCCGGCACAGCGTGCCAAGATGCTTTGCCAGGAGGACGTTCTGACAGCGTGCACAAAGCGTAATGGTGTGTGCCGTCAGAACGTCCTTGGGGAGGGTTGGGGTGGCCGACATGTGGCCACCCCTCCCCTTCCCTGCCTCAAAGATGGCACAAAGCACTGTCTGTAGAGGCCCTAACTGAAAGAAATAAGTTTGTAGCATGAACTTTCATAGACTTGAGCCATCTTCCTTAGATGCATGTTTGGACTGCCATTCCCATTATCTCTCTCCACTCATTTACTTTTCTTTCCTCATTCATTCTCCCTTCTGTTTTCTACTGCTGCCACTTTCTCTCTCCTCCCTTTTCTATTCTACCACCCACTTTCTCTCTCTGTTTGAAAATGGAATTTAAAGTTTATTTCCTGGACTGAATCTCCCATTACCCACATGGCGAGAAGAAGGAGGGTCCCACCTGCATCAATAACGTTCCATACTATCCTAAGCAGAGGACTGCAACTTCATCATCTTGATCAAATGCAGGGCTATGACTAACATCATTAAAATATATTTTATTTTCTTCTCCTGTATCATATTTCCCTTGTATCAGCCAGTGTGGTGTAGTGGTTTGAGTATCAGGCTGTGACTCTGTAGACAAGGGTTCAAATCCCCACTTGGCCATGGAAACCCACTGGGTGACCTTGGGCAAGTCACACTCTCTCAGCCTCAAGGGAAGGCAATGGTAAACCTCCTCTGAACAAATCTTGCCAGGAAAACCCCATGATGCCTTCCATACCTGTGCAGGTGGCTGCAATAGGAACTTCAAGCGTGATTCTTGGTTTCTCCTAACTGCCTCCTGAACATGTAACTTGGAAGTGACTTGAAGACACACAGTAAACAAATGAAATCATTTGTAACCCCTTTGTCTGATGAAAAAGCCAGTGGTGCTTCGAAACCTTGCAACGTGTATAATGCGCATTTTGGTTGGCCCAATAAAGGTATCATGGTCTTGTAGATTTTGGATGTTTGAAACAGTGCTGCTTCTCTGTGCCACTCTCTCCCTCTCAATTTCTCTCTCTCTGAGCTTTTGCGGGAGGAAGATATCCATTGATGGTTATCATCAGAATTTAGAAATGCTGGCTTATAAGAGAGTTTTTGAAATTAAGCCGAGGAGAGCATACGGTAGCTCAGGTTGACCACCCTTGGTGCCTGAAATTGCAATCACATCTGCTGCACCAGATCAGGGTCATACATTGCATCGTGCTCTCCTTCCTTTTAAGCTGAATAGGAGCTCACCTGTGCAGGTGGCTGCAAAAGGAACTTCAAGCACAGCTCTTTGTTTCTCCTGACTGCCTCCTGAACATGTAACTTAGCAGGGGGTTCAGCCCTAACCGGTTCATTGTGGCAGGAGCGTTCCCAGTCAAGAGCAAATTTCCTGAAATGCATGTCACATCTTCTACAAAATAGGCCGTTTCCCTGCGTGCGTTAGAAAACCGTGCACCTTGGAGCACCTTTAGCTTCGCAGAGATTTGCCGGTTTTTTTTTCATTACAACTCCTGTACAGATCAATAAACGCTTGTTCTAACCAAAAATCAATGTGCGAGCTTAACCACCTCTCCTATAAAGTGAAGTTTGATGGGGGGGAGAGGGGGAGACTGGGAACAAGAAAATGTCCTCTAGTGCTTGTCTTGTTATGTTGCTCTCCAGTGAAATCTAGGACTTGGACTCAAATAAACTACCTAACATTGACAAACAGATAAAGGCCAATGTTAGCTGTCACCTACAGATACTAAAAATGTATAGATCTTTGCCACGTGAAATGCAGACTTTGCTTAGGTTGAAAGGAAACCTGCTTTTTTTAAAAAAAGAACAGGATTTTATTTAGGGTACACTCCAACATTCTGATGTTTACATCTGGGGTATTAAGTAATATTATTCATTCATTTATTTATTTCTTAGTTATCTTATCTTTCTCCCCAAACTGGGAAACAAAGATGCTCATGACAAGACAAACATTTATGTGTGTGTTTGTGTTTGTGTGACTTCAAGTCATTTCTGACTTTGTGGTTGTTAACTGCCCTTGAGTCAGTCTCGACTCATGGCGACCCTATGGATGAGACCTCTCCAAGTTTTATGGGTCTCTTGGGCTGCAGAATTAATGCAATTTGACACCACTTTAGCTGTCATGGCTCAATGCTATGAAATTCTGGGATTAGTAGTTTTGTGAGCTATCTAGCTTTCTCTGTCAGCAAGTTCTGGTGCCACAATAAACTATACATCCCAGGATACCATACAATGGAGTCATGACAGTTAACAATGACAGTTAAAGCAGGATCTTGGTTTGGACTCAGCTTTATTACAAATTGGAGCAGCCGTACTCCAGTGCCTACTTACTTGGACTAGGTGAACCGAACACCATAGGACATAGTATGCAAAGAGATCTTGTAGCACTTTTGAGACTAACTGAAAGAAAGAAGTTGGGTAGCATGAGCTTTCATAGCCCATAAGACATACTTCAGGTTGAAAGCAATAAACATGCATGGGATCAGCCTTACACCATGATTCCTCTGAGGTACGGTATATACAAAAGTGAGCAACAACTACACCATTATGACAAAGGGAACAGAGGCTTCTAATCTGCAATAGATGTTTGGCATACAGCTTTGACCAAATTGCTGTTTGATAATTCACTAAACCTTCACTTTGGCCCTCACGATGTTTTGACTTCATCTCCCAGAAGTAGCAGTCATTATAGCCAATGGACAAAGATGCTGGGATTTGAAGGTCAAACCATCTGATCTGAAGGCTGAGAACTCCTGCAGCAGACAAAATCTAGGATTGTTACTTATTTTGGCATATGATATGGAATTGCCTCAAATGAGGAAATATACATTTTCTCTTTTTCTCTTTTCACACAAGCATGTGTGTGCATACAGAGAAAATTATAAACGAGCATTAAACACAGTATTAAAACCAGTTGGAAGGAAATGAACTAAAGGGGAATAATAAATAGGATTTCATCAATGGCCAGCTATTTGAGACAGCTTGCGAAAATTACATTGCATTTCAACAAGATTTTGTTTTTTTATTGTATTATATTTTACAAATCTAGTCTCCTCAACATCTGCTTCTCTCCTTCACATCTCTCCAAATTGTAAAAAGACCTGAAGCAGAAATATGAATGTTGAGGACAATGCTTAAAAGATGCAGTGGATGGCCTCCTATCTTCTCATGCTACCATCCACTTGGTGGTGTAATATGCAAAGGAAAATGGACTTGTCATGTTCAGCATTTCCGCATTAATGAAATGTGGATTTCTATTTCAGATAACATAACTTGCTGGATTATTTAATAACACTGGAACTTGTTAAGAGCTCAGCTAAGCTGCTGGATTATATTAAATAAAGCAAGAAGATTTTTTCCTTCAACACTTTTTTTTTTAAAAGGACTCCTCTGTAGTTGTTTGCTTTGATTTTATTGCATGATAAGTTATTGCTAAGGTTGATCTTTCACTTCATTATGGGAAAACATTTGTTTGGAAAATGATGAAAGGAAAACTATGCTCCCCCCAAAAAGATATGAGCACTTTCTTTAATGTGTTGCCTGCTTATAACTAGGAGTTCTGAAACTGTGCTAAGAAGAGTGAAGCCAGTATTCAAAACAAATTAGAAGAAACCATACCTTCTTCCAAGAAAACCCCTCCTCCTGTGAACTGAAGCTTTGAAAAACTAATCTTTACACTGCAGCTTCTAGAATTCCCAAAATTTTGTGATGTGTAGGCTCAAAAGTACCATCAACCCTCCATATCCATGGATTCTCATCCATGGATTCAACCGACTTGATTTCAACTGACTGATGGATTCTCATCCATAGATTCAACATGATTTGAAAATAATCACCATAAATAAATAAATAAATAAATAAAAGCAAAAATCAAATGTTGATTTTGCCATTTGCTCAGACTTGTGTGAACTCTATATTTAACCCACCACCTGATCAAGTAAGTGGCTGTATAGAATAGAACAATATGCAAACCCATTTGTCAATACTTTGCAAATGAGTTATATTGACAGTGATAGATAGGGATACATATTTGACTTATTAACTCAGATTGTGGGGTGGGAGGAAGGAGAAGAGGAAACAAAAAGTTATTGTAAGTTAAGAAATACATATTTGTAATGGGGAAAATGGAAGTAACAAAAGGCAAAAGGCATGAGTCAAGTTGGTTTACCATTGAGCTTCAGACTCTCCCCCCAAAGGTTATGTCTAGAATTGCTAGATTCAAAGTAAGATGACAGTCACACACCTTTGAATCTGTACTCCCAGATAGGTAGGAACAATTTGCTATGCCCAAGGAATAATTGCTCAGGCATGTAAGTTGCAACTGAAAGTTACAGCTCAGCGAGACAAACATATGATTTTCATGTAACCAGGCTCTAACATCAGATATACAATCTGTCGTTATCACACTCATCATATTCTGCTATTGTTTTCCCTCCACCTTTTCTGTTTAGTGCAAATTTCATTAGTCTTTTGTTCCCAGAAAAATGAGTATGCATTTACCTAATTTAAGAAAAACACGGGTATTCCTCCTTGTCCCGCACCCCAAGACAGAGAAAGGCTGCAACCCATCCCACACTCAATTCAAATATGATCTGGATATTGCATCCTCATTGTGGACTAGGAAATGGGGTGATAAAAATATGGTTCAGGCATCTGTTTGCTAATGATCTGCATTAGCTCAAAGGGATAACTATCAATAACTTAGGAATACCATCATTTGCTAGTATGGAAACTGGTCATGTATTCTCTCGTTGGCTTATATATTAGAAGCAGCCAAGTATCTGAGCTTTGGAAATTCATACTGACATTGTAACATGTGGAAGGCTTCACCACAGTGTGAATTTCTTTGAATAGGTCAGTATGGGAATGGGACGGGAACATTTCTTTTATTCTGGGTGGAGACAGCCTATGTCTTTTTCTCTCCTTCTCTTATTCACTTTCTGTTTCTCTGAGACACATACACTTTCTCTCAGACATGGAAGCCACCAGCCATCACTCTGTAGGTTGTGTCTAGTCTTGCCATGGACCTCCTACTTTTGATCAGTCCTAGTGATATAGCCTCAAGTCAATTTACTTGGACTCAAGTCCGACTCATGTCACTTCAATGACTCAACTTGGCAATAAATGACATACTGACTCAACTCAACTTGTGATTTCTATATTTTTAATGGCTAACTTGCTGGCACCATTCACTTTGAGCAGCATACCAGCTTGAGACCAAAGCATGGGGCATGTTTCTTGGAAGGGAACAGCAAATGTGTTTGGCAACTGGCTTGATGTGGAAGAAGACTTCTCCAATGTACAGCATGGACAGGCTGCCAAGTAGACCTCAACCTCCACCTCAAGCTCATTGCCTAACACATTTGTTATTCTTCTCTGAGAAATGTGCCTCATCTCCTTTTTTTCTGTGAAATATTGGCTCTTTGACTTGAGACTTGACTTGAGACTTAACTTGAAAGTATCTTGCAAGGACTTGAGACTCAAGATTTGAAGGTAGAGATCTGAGACTTGACTCTTGAGACATGGGGTAAAAGACTTGAATACATCACTGCTCGGCCCAGAACAGAGTGTAGGATAGATTCTGTACCTGTGTGGTATGGAGAGTAAAGGGAGACAGA